GGGGCGGGGGCAAGGGGCGGGGCGGCGGCGCGAGCCGCACGCTCGTGGCGGTGTTCCCTGTTGCGAGCAGGGTGGGGCACCTCCTGCACCACCATCACCAGCACCACCACAGCCAGCAGCTTGCGCACCAGGATGCGCCCTGGGGTGCCCCCCACCTGGGCGCGGACCCGGCGTCGTCCCCGGCTCCATTGGAGCCCTCTTCGCTGCAGCAAGCCGCGCCGCCGCCGCAGCAGCAGCAGCAGCAGCAGCAGCAGCAGCAGTTGAAGACCCGGCCGCGGACTTCCCCTGGGAAGCAGCAGGAGCCGGCAGCAGCCAGCGCGGCGGCGGCGGCGGCGGCGGCGGCGGCGGCGGCGGCGGCCGCGGTGGCGTCGCCTGTGCAGAGGCTGTATGAGCTCGCGGTGGAGGTGTGGGGCGGGCCCCCCGAGGGCGCTTTCCGCCACACCAAGGTGCATCGAGGGGGCGGGGTTCAGGGGCTGCCCGCGTCTTGACGTCCTCGTCGGCGGGGCTCACGCCCACTCCTTGGATATGGCGGGGCCAGCCTGCCTGTCAAAAAACATCTGCCAAAAGAGTAAAGTTCACACACACACACAAACAAACCCCTGCACGCACCCTTTTAAACACACAAGATACCACACTCACACGCCCAACCCCGTTCACATAAACAAAGGTAACCTCCCGCACCCGCCAACTTCCTCCTTCGACACCCCCACCCCCAGGTGGTCTCCATCAAGTCAAAGTACATCCTCCTCAACGACACCGGCCTGGGCATAGAATTCAAGCAGAAGGGCACGCCAGACCCGGGGGACGCGCGGTACCTGGCATACGGCGACAGCCGGCGCTTCGCGGGGCCGCTGCAGCCCTCCGAGAGGTGCGCACGCCTGCACCCTTTTCGCATGGGGCAGGATCTGATTTGAGATGAGACGGATCGCCGGGCCCAGGCGCAGCCTGCACGCGCAAGACGTGCTCAGGCTTAAGCAGCACTGCTGCGGTGGGCGGTCCCGCAATAGCGGGCGGAGAGGGGCGGTGCAGAGCGTGACGGGCGTGTCTGGCGCCGCCGGCGCCCGCAGGTGCGCTCTGCACTGGGACAACGCGGGCGAGGCGCGGGAGCTGCAGATCCGCCCCCTGGGGCCCGGCTGGGAGTGGAGCGGCGCGTTTGCTATCCCGGAGCGCGAGGAGTACGTCGGGCTGCGCATACGCAACAGGTGAGAGCGCCTCCACCATCACTTGTGTCCATCAGCCGTTCTCAGCGTCCCTGTATGTTGAGCCCCGGTCAACACATCATTGGGTGCTGACGTGATGTCAGCCTCATCGTTTGCACGCCTCGACCAAGCCGCATGGACTCGTAAATTCTCCGTACCCTTGGCGGCGGCTTTGCCGATTGGCCCCCTTGAAACGAGCGCCACCTCTCGTGCGGCGCGGCCGGCCACTAAACATCCTCGCCGCTCACCACCCTCCCGCAGCCTGACCATGGCGAGCGTCATCCTGCCAGTCAACACCACCGTGGGGCGCTCGGGGGTAGTCCTCGTCACGCTCAAGAGCCAGCGCAGCATACCGCCCATCAGGCAAGCCAAGGGGCGCCCACGCGCCCCCTCCGCCTCCATCGCCCTGCTAGAGGGGATGCAGAGGGGCTCGTTGACATGCATCCGTGTGCCTAGCCGTCCACCTGACCGCCCATGTCCCTGACTGGACTTTGTTCCTGCCTGCCCACAATTTTTAAAACCACGTTTCTCACTGCTTGCACTCCTGACTATCCACATCCCTGGCTACCAATCTTCTAACCTCCCACATTCCCATCCGTCTGGCCACGTCTGTGTCCCCTCATGTCCCTTTGTAACTGCAGGATTGAAAACCGCTGCAAGCGCGTGGTGGTGCGGCTCAAGCAGGGAGGGTGGCGCCCGCCGGTGGAGGGGTGAGCGCCCCGCGCGCGTCTGCACTGGCGGCGCGCGTGCGCCGCCACCAGGCGGCCTGTCGTGTTGCGCCATGCGCCAGCCGCCTTTGCATGCCTTGTGAGGCTAGCCATCATGGCAGCCGGCTAGGGTTTAGGATTCAGGGTTGAGAGTACACCTTGATCAGTCGGGCCGTATCGCCGCCACCGGCGACCCACCCCTCTGGCGTGCCATGTCACTGCCTGCCCGGCCTGCAGGTACGGCAACCCCTTCAACCGGCGCGTGTGGGACGCACTGCCACCGCACGCATCGCTGCCATACGCCTGGGACCAGGTGGGGGGCGGAGGTGCTGGGGGGCGATATGTAGTTTCTGCGCAGCGCGCGAGCTTGCGCCAAGAGGAGATGCAATCTGCAGCTGCAGTTGTGGACATCATCCCCACAATCAGCCGCCTCGCCCTGCCGCTGCCTGCTGGTTGCGTGGCGCCGGCAAAGCCACAACCCGGCAATCCCCGCCCTGACGCGGCGCTCGCAGCCCAACGGCAAGCACACCATTGAGGTCGCCGCCACGCTGCTCGCCGCCGACCCCGACTTCTCGGCGGCTGCCGGGCAGCCGGGCGGCAGCTTCCTCATGAGCGCCGCCGAGTACAATCTGGATGAGATGAAGACTCACAGGGTGCTGCACGTGGTCAGCGCAGTAGCGCCCGGCCAGCAGCAGCAGCAGCAGCAGCAGCGCAGCCAGCACAACAGCCAACAGCCGCCCTCCCAGCCGGCGTCCCCAACTCGCATGCCGCTGCCGCCGGACGCCCTCCTGCCCCCGGCGCGCACGGGCGGTGCGCCGCCACACGCGCCGGCCGGCGCCGGCGGCGCAGCGGCGCGGGCGCTGGCGGGCGCGGCGTCGGTGGGGCCAGGGCCGGGGGCGCCGGCTGGGGAGGTCACTGGGAACGGCCTGGCGGCGTTCTCGCCGGCGGCGCTTGCCACCACTGCGGCCAACGCCCTCGTCGAGCTGGGCAGCCGCGGTGCAGGGGCGCTGGCCGCCCTCGCGCAGCCGCTGGGCAGCTCCTTCGGCCTGCTGGGCGGGCCCTCGGGGCCGGTGGAGGCCGCGGCGGGCGCGGGAGCCCCTGGGTTGGGGCCGGTTGATGCGGAGGGGTTTCTCCTTCACACTGAGTCGCACAGGCCGGGCGGCGGCGGGCTCAGCGGCGCCGGCGCGGGCTCGCTGGCGCCATCGCGGCGCGCCCCAGGGGGCGACGCCCACGGTGCGAGCGGCGGCGCGGCGGGCGCGCACGCGC